CTCTCTCTCTCTCTCTCTCTCTCTCTCTCTCTCTCTCTCTCTCTCTCTCTCAACTTCCCATGGTTTACTTTGGGTATTTTTTCCTCTTTGCAACCAAAGAACATGGAAGAAGGAGTTGAAAAGCCTGGATTTAGGCCTAACAGTGCCACACAATGGATATATGATTCATGAAAAATCTCAAAAAAAAGTTTCTATTACCCTCAGTTTATTTCTTGTCTGAAATAGGGGAAATGGCTCAAGTTGGTAGTTCACTGTGCTTGCTTATTCTCAGGGTCCTCTCTTAAACCAAAATTAAAATGGGAAGAACAGAGATGCCTGAGCACCACACTAGCCTTTTCTGAATCAAAAGTTATATGAGTGTAACTAAAGCAGGTCCTTGTAATTATTTTTTATTTTATGCATACGGGCATTTTGCTTACATGTATGTCTCTTGGAGACCAGAAGGTCATGACTCTCCTAGAACTGAAGGTGCAGATGATTGTCAATTGCAATGTAGGTGCTTGGAATTGAACCCAGGTCCTCTGGAAGAGAATCCAGTGCTCTGAACCACTGAGTCATCTCTCCAGCCCCAGGTACTTGTAATTTTTAAAATGACCTTAGGTGATTCTGACCAATAACTGGATAAGTCTATATAATTTCTGTAGTGTTTCCCCATGTACTAATGCTCAGTGCTCTGTGTTCCTAGGGATCACTCTGTTTGACTGAATTCTTAGCAACTGATATAGTGTCACATGTAAAATGTGAACTCTGCTTTTGTTGACTGCCTTAAAGATAAGTAGTGCAATATAGATGGTGATGACTGGAAAGGACATGTGGTATTGCTATTCCAAACTAGGCTTCTAGCAAAGGAACATCAATAAATGAATTAAAATGTCTCAGTGTAGACCTTCACCTGTAGGACGGTCTGCACAATAACAAACTTTTATTCAAGTAGTACGGGTGTTTAAAGAGAATAGTGTGGAAGCAAAGGGGGAAGGTGCGGGGAAATTGCATGATTACATTTGCTTTGTGTTACAGAGATTTATAGCATCCAGAAGTGTCACACTTCCTGCGTCAGAGCATAAATTTAAATTAGAAATGAGACAAGTGATAATACAAAGCCTTGGTGATCTCTCTTAAGTAATTTCTCCTGCCCAAAATTTTCATTCTTTATGAAAAATCACATATTTCTGTCATTAATTTAAGAAAACCCACAGAGATAAGTCTCATTACCCCTGCAGAATTGTGTCTATCTTCCTTTTTATACACTTCAGGATACTTTATTAGTGTGATCATTGTTTTTCACAAAAACGCTAAGGTGACAGGCAGACTTGAAACCCTTTGTCTGGGAGATGGGTGTCTCAATGTATTTTCGTTACACTTCCTCTACTGCTCCCCTTAGTGGAAACTGCAGCAAGTTATAGGATAGCTGCAGAGACAAACACTGCCCTCAAGCGCATACACTCTTCTCTTCTGTGTCCGGGGGCTCTGAGGCAGTGGTCACAGGGGCAAGAAAAATGTGTAGTCTCTGTGAAGAGTTAGGAAAGACCTTTTGGGAGAAGAGAGGAAGGTTCATGGGGACAATCAAGTAGGCAGACTAGACGGGGGCGCGAGTATGGGACGTTTTTACACCCAAGGAAATAACTATTTTTGAAATATTACTGTAACTTGTCAGCCTTGACTACTTTATTTTTTTCAGATTCCCAGGAAACCAGGATGAGTAATTACAGGCAGTGACTGTCATTGTCAAGATAGCTCCATAATTAGAGAAATACAAAATATGTCTCACTCGGAGGTATCTCGCTGTCAATTACGAAAGGTTAATAAAGTCAGAACAGCCAGACGGTGGGGAAATTGAAGACTGCAGATGCTCTGTCCTTAAGACACGGGGTTCTTTGCTTTAGCAAACCCAGCAGGAGAAATGGGTCCTGAATTCTGCATGAAGCTGTAGAATACAGTTTTCCCTGTAGACTCACGATGTGATTGGGATCCCTCTTCACTTGTGTAAAGTCATAGAATGCCTTAAACGGGCGCCATACTGTCTTGGTTGCTCCTGATGCTGTGATAAAATATCCCAACAAAGCGACTCCAGGCAGAACGGGTTTTGGCTCACAGTTCTAGATTAAGTCCACCACGGCGGGGAAGTCTTAGCCAAAGCATTGCATCCACAGTTAGGAAGCAGTGAGTGATGAATGCTGACACTCAGTTTTTCCTTTTTGTGCAACCGAGGAAAACCAGGCGCAGGGAACGGTGTTACCCAGTATTTGGGTGGGTCTTCCCAGCTCAGCTAATTTACTGAAGATTATTTCTCACAGTCATGACTGGAGGACAATGCAATCTAGATAATCCCCCATTTGTGATAATAAAACAGTTTGTTGCATAGGTATTTCTCAACCCTGTCTAGTTGATAATCAACACTAACCATCACATTGTCTAAACAGTTTTAATAAGCTGGATGTGAAAAAAAAATCTGTCCTGCAGTTTGAAAAATAAACCAGGGATCTTCATCCAAGAAAGTAAATATATGTGAACCAAAGTGCTGCTTGGAGTTATATAATTGTTTTCTTTGCAAATAGGAGAAGCAGTTGAATGCAGCTGCCTTCAGGCATTGGGTCCAAATTTACCCATCCTTGAATAGACCTCCTGTATGCTAATAAACCACACGGTCAGAGTTGCTGGTTAAACAGTCTATGCATAGTTTTGTTTTATTCCAAAACCTAGAAAAAAATCTCCCTCTCTCTCTTTTTTTTTAACCACACAAATTACAGGAACTTAAGATAACGTGTCTTTAGGTTTCAATATAATCATATGCTTAAAGTTTACAGAATATTTGAAGAGTCCATAGCAGCTGAAGCTTGCTGCATAGCCTGTGTGATAGTTTCTCC